ACTTAGGTTGTGAGGCAATTCTCCCCCCGTACGTTCGAGTACGGGATCCCAGTTCCTATAAGTTATAACCAGAGTCTCTTGTAGGGAGAGCGTGATAATTGTGTATAGATCTATATTGGGATTGACACCCCACACCTCGCTGCTAGCTACAGCCGGACCAGCAGGTCTACGGGTGACAAGAGTCATAGTATCTTAACGTCTGAAAAACGTTGTGCAGGTTATTTCTCGTCATAGTATGGTTATAGCGACTCACATAGGTAGTTAACAATCTTTCAAGTTTACATGGAAAATTCTACTTTGAAAAAGGGTTTTACTTCTAAACTAAACGAGTTTATGTCGATTTAAACTTGCATGAATTACTTTAAGTATGGTAAAATACTTGTTTATTCTCAGTCCTGGGATTTAGGACTACATAACTTTTATAAGGAAAATATTGGATTTTCTTGGGAATCATATTTCTATTAAAACTACATTTCATCTAGAATTGTTAGACTTCAGCTATAATTGCTAAGTGTATATGCTAGAGTTATCTAAGAATCTAGTCACAATCGACTTAGAATTGGTGGGCCCGCCTCATCTCCTGTTCTTTGTTTGGTTGTGGACCTAGGGCAGACCCATTATATTCAACGGTTTATTTAACTAAAATTTTATATAACTTGTATACGCTGGGCGATTATAGAAGGAATCTATGGGTCCTTCTAGGGTTCATTATCGCGTAACACAGGAGCATTCATTTCACACTTAACTAAGAAAATATTGGATTTTCTGGAAATCATACTCTATCGCTTTTACAAGGAAAACGGTTTCTTCCTCAAATAAAACTCTTATGAACTCACCAACTTAATTGTTGACACTTTTCAAAACTACTTGTATTCTCAGGAAATCAGTGAAACAGGAAAACTTCAGCATTTTGAGGATGGGACGTTAAATCGTCAACAGTTCATTTTGTCATCATAATGTAATTGATTTTGAAACATGTAAACATATACTATGGTGTAACCTTTTTAATTATATTTATGACGGTTGTATTTACTTTGAGCATTATTATACTCGTTGTTGTGATACTATACATGAAATCCTCCACCCCCGGACGTTTCCGTGATCCTTGGTTTGGGGGTGTGACAATGGGTGACCCCGTGGGAAGTCCTCGTGCCTAGTGGCCCAAAGCGGACAATATTGCGATACGTTCCAGAGGAGGATGTTACATAAATCTCTTAACTTGATGGTTCTTTATGGTAGATCTGGTTTAGGGCTTGATTTTGTGCATGTTAGGGTCCCTTAAGTCATGCTTGGGAGTATGAGTTATCCCAAAAGCTAGGAATGCCAGATCTTAGCCTCTCTGATGTTCCTTGTGCATAAAAATGCAATATTGATGTGTTATATTGGACCATGCATGAGTTAGGGCTCTTATTATGGGTCTTAATGGTCAAAAACAAGTATTGGGTCCCATTAAGTCATGCAAAACTGTAAAGTTGCTAACTTTACGTGTTAAGACCTTAAAATGATGTAGATATGAAGTTTGGACGTTAAGAACTTAAGTGATTAAGTCAAAAGTTGAGGATTTGCCCTCTGGCCAGTACATTGAGCGTACATTCTAGTACGTAGGATATACTAGGTCAAGTACACATTTTTCGAGTCAACGCTCGTACATTGCGCGTACGAGGAGTACGCAGGGTGTACGATGTGAAGCGGGCTTCTATTGTTTTAGGCCTTCTTTTTGGACTTGGACTTCTTTTGGGCTTTGGGCCTTAGCTGGATTTTGGGCTTTGTATATGTTGGGTTTTATTTGGACCTTAGGTTTATGGGTTGGGCCAGTTTTGGGCCTTGGGCCACTATAGAGTTATTGGGCCAAGCTAGTTGGGCCCAGTAAGGAAAAAAATGTAAAATAGTCTTTTACCCTAGAGGTTGAGGATGATGATTTGGGACCCCAGTTATGGTTTATGACCTAATTATTAATTAGGGTATTCTTTGATGATATATAGTACAGAGATTTCCCCAGATCAACAGTCTGAGCATTTATCTGATTTTCCAGCAGATTGAGGTGAGTTTCCTCACTGAGTTTGGCGGGTCGAAGGAACCAATGTCGACCCATGATTTATTGCGATTAGGGTGCTAGTTGTCTGTGTGACTCTTGCATGTGTGGTATGTAATATGTATACCGGGCGGGATCCGATGCCAGGCGGGGACCTAATGAGCGTATTGTATGTTGTTTGTCTTAGTGATTCTTGCGTGTATTTTATGTGTCTGTATGTATATCGGGCGGGGACCAATGCCAGGCGGGGCCTGATGAGTATGATTGGGTGGGGTCCATTTCATATTACTGACAAATCTGTTCCGGGCAGGGCTCGATGTCGGGCGGGGCCCAATGGTTGTCAAGCAAGGCCCATTGTATTTATGGTATGTGGTATTTTGGGGAACTCACTAAGCTTCGTGTTTACGGTTTTCATCTTATGTTTCGGGTACTTCCGGATCGAAGGGGAAGAGCTCGGGGTGATCGCATCGCACACACCATGATTTCCGCTTTATTTGACTTGATGTATTGGGATGATTGATTGACATACTCTGATTTTCCTTTATGGATTTATGAACATGTTTGGTTGATGGTTTTATTATTATGAAAACAAAATTTTTGGTTTTAAATTTTGGGACGTTACAGAACATCCCTTTCTTGTTGAAAGACATCTTTGTGATTACTTGTGTTCTTTATTTTTCTGTTTGATCTTTGTTTAGTTAGTTTGTTCTTCGTTAATTGTACTTGAAGTATATCCGATCGATACAAACCTTCACTCTAAATTTCAGGTTCTTACATAAAAGCCCTTAAGTGCTATATGGGTACTTGTGGATGGATCCACTATGTATGATGAGCCTAAGGAGGTGGGACGCCAATACGACCACAGAGGGGGAGTTTTGAAGGTTGGGTGACTATTCCTTTATCGGGGGTTTCGGCCATTGTTGCGATCTCTGTGATGGTTGAATCCTCGATGTTGGGTTTATTATTCCATATGTAGAGCACGGTGGAGGAAGAATTATTATCTCAATGTAGTACTAAACTTGGTCTTGAGTGGTTAGTGCAAGATTCCTCAATCAAGCTAAAAGTTGGATCACCAAAGTCCAAATCAGGGATAATTGTAAAAGTCAATTAACCTAGTAAGTTATTCAAGTAAATAACATCATTTTGTATTGTTGTAGCCTTCTAGCAATCAAGTAAACAACCGAAAATCAAACTCAAAACCATTAGAGCATCCACATAGGTGCAAGTTTAACACCTTGCAAAAGAATGCCACATATGATTATTAGATTAATGTAATATTATAAAAGTGTTAGATTAAAATAATATTATAAAAACACTTGCAAGTCTTTCAAATATAGAAAGATGAAGTCCTATGTTGGCAATCAATATATCTTAGTGGCATTGCAAAAAAAAAAATGAAAGACCCGATGTGGAGGGTCTTAGATGTTAATTGTTAACTCAAAAGAAGACAAGAAACGAAATTGTGAAAGACCCGATGTGGAGGGTCTTAGAAAGTTACCATGCAGACCAACTCTCGGTGAGATTCTTGGCCTAATCTCGGTGAAATCGGGAAGATTCTCGGGACCGACATTCCTGACCGCTATTTTTTTCTAGGTCTGTAGGATCCCACTGAGATCCCACCGATATCAATTGCATAGCTAGATGTAAGACCTTTCTTGAGCATCGTTAGAAGTAAAATTTTGCTAATCGTTCCATAAATACAAAGCTTCAACAACGAATCAAGTTTTGTCCATGTTTGATCATGACTGTTACGATTGGTGTCGGTAAGGTGATCCAATACATTGAAACGCATGCAGTGTGTTTCAAAGATCTCACACCAAGCATCACATTTAAAGTTGTACTCGCCTAAATCTAGTGTGATTGGAACGTACACTTTGATATTCGTTATTCCAAAAGCTTTTTGGGGGTTTCTTTTCTCATCGGGATGATTGGTTACAGACTTATGGGAGAGAGAATATGTAGAACCAATTACAACTCTAGTATCATGAAATTAGACATATTTTCTCGTAATCATATTGATTTTCATTCCTAAAAATATATACGATCATTAAATTGTATATGGACTGGACCGAATATACAATAGTTGTGTGTTAAATACAACTATGTTAATAATGCATGCTAAGGTACAATAATTACAACCCGATACTACTACAAACATTCTGCCAAACACATTAAGCCAAACCATTACCATTTAATATAACGAAACCAAAAACAGCCAAACACAAACCATTACAATGTAAATAAACCACTTTATGTAATTTCTTTGATATAAAAAATAACAAATAAACCAAATTTTTTTATTTACTATAATTGATAAATAACAAAGTTTATCTCATATTCTGGATCTTTCATAACAATTCAATATAACAAAAGCAAGAACAGCAAACCATTACAACTTAAATAAAACACTTTATGTAATTTCTTTGATATAAAAATAATAAATAAACCAAATTCTTTTTATTTACTATAATTGATAAATAAAAAAATTTATCTCATATTCTGGATCTTTATTAACTCTTAATGTATGACCTCATTGTTTCGTGTATAATTAACAATACAATAATCTATTTATATTCGCATTATTTCCAAAACTTTACATTCTAAATTACTACTGAGATGTCTTGTGGTCTAATGGTTTACTCTTGTCAAAGTCTCAAAACGCAGTCCTAATAAATTGTGAAGTTGAAAGAAATTCTACCTGAAACCATTATACATGTTATTACAACATTATTTTTCTAAAACCAGATTAGATCCACATTTTTTACCACAAATGGAAAGAATTTCTATTCACATGATGCAATTTAAATAAATAAATAAAAAGTACACCACCATACCAACAGTTTTCTACAGCTTCACCAGTCCAATAACATCCCACAAACACATAATTCAAAGAACCAAAGGAAATGTGCGAGAAGACAGATAGACATATACCACCTCACCACCACAAACGTACAACTCCTAATGCACGCTAAAAGTACAACTGCTTACACTGCCCGACCTCCACCTCGGTCGGGCAGTACGGGCACTTAAAAGGCCGCGTACTATTATTCTTCGACAACTTAGTAATCGACTGTCTACAAAGCACATGCCCACAAGACATCAACATCGGAGGATTATCCTCCCCCGCTTGATCCCTACTCACGGGACACACAAATATCGAGTGAAATTGAAACTCTTGATCTAAATCCACCGGCACCGGCAACTGCTTCATCGTCTGCCACTCCTGCTTCTTCCCCGTCATCACATTCATCAATTTCAAAAGCGTCGGTAAACCCTGAACGCCTGCAGCCACTGTCGCGCTCAGCGGACAGTGGTGCGACTCGCCGATTAGGTTACAGTACTGTAACGCTAATTCGTCTCCGAGTTTCGCCCAGTGCGATGGCGAGAGAAACTCGGAGTACGGCGAGGATTCGAGCTTCCCCACCCAGAGAAGACACGCCATTAGCTTTTGAATCTCTGGGAGGTGGCGCTCTGCGAACGGCGCGAAGTGCGACCGCGCGTATTTCAACGCGGCGTCGCGCCGTCCGCTCTGGAGAATCTCCATGAATTGGAGACGGTGGAGTTTTAGTTCGATGTCGGATCCGTTTTTTAGCAGTGTTTCATGATTATTGGTGGCCCAGCATAAAGCAGGAACGAGGTCACGCGTTTTCATGGAATCAAGGATCTTATACATTTCGTGGAAGTGAGTTTTTCTGTCGGTTAGGGTTTTCTCGTTTGATTCGGTTATGAAACAATCGCCGATTTCGAACAGTCCTTCGCGGTATAAATGAGCGGCGATGATTTGGTTGACAGTGTGGAGGTCGAAGTCGACGTGGCGGTAGGATTTGGAGATGTCGGGGTTGAATTGTTTTTCGAGGAGTTTTGTGTATTTGCTGAAAGCGATGTTGAGGTCTTTTTGTGTGGATTCGAGTTGAGTGAGTGGAGCGATTTGTTTTAGTTTTGATTGGAGTTCATTGAGGATTGATTTGGTGGATGGAGTGGTTGATTGGATTTGTGATATCGCGTGGTTGATTTCTTGGGTGATTTGTTGGATTGTTTCTTGGGATTTGGAGGTTGAGAGTTTTTGCTTTTTTGTAACGCGATCGAATGCGTCTTTGATTGAATTTAGCTCCATGATGAAAATTGTAGCTACTTGTAGTTTAGGAAATGTTATTAAGTGTACCTGTAACAGCATAAAAATAATAAAATACAAATGGAAGGGTAAAAAGGTAATTTTGGTTTTCTGATGAAAAAGGAAGAATGAAATTGAATTCCTGGTGCAATCCATGAAGTATGGAACTCAGAATTGAATTCCATTCATTTTGGAAACCAAACATGCCATGGAATGGAATCGCCAATTCCAGTTCCATCAGATTCCACCGGAATCCAAAAAACAGATCAAAGAGATATGGAAACCAAGGTGTGTTATTCAATTCCGTCATATTGATTATGAGAAGTCACTGTTTATGAATAAAATGAAACTATGAACAAAGCATGGTAAATAACATATAGAAGAGAGAAGGATGTAATTACCTGATGATCTTGATATAATTGTTGAAGGAATTTGAGTGCTATAGTCTTCTGTGATATGATTTGTTGTCTGTAAAGCTATTGAGATTAAGATAATTTGAAAGAAGATAACATATATAATATGATGAAAAGCTTACAAATACAAAAAAAGAGCTAGTATTTAACTGCTTTTGAATCTAGAGTGAATGAATCTACTAAGTTCACGTCTATTCTAATAGAAAAGTTGATAAATACACATCCAATAATACATATTATATATAGTATTAGTCTTTAGAATCAACATATTCTAGAAAGAAAGAACGAATTAAACAGAAAAAACATTATATACCAGCATTAGGTTTCAATCTCTAAATCCAAGGTTATATTATGTCTATCTTTTTTATATAATACGAATTCACAAGACATTTAAAAAACAAATCTTCATTTTATTTGCAGAAAGTTTATCTTTATTGAGAAGAGTAACTTTAATCACCGATGATAATCACCGATAACTAGAAACACTAAATGCAAGTAAATTAACATCGTTAAGCAACCAACGATTATCTAATAATTCAGTCCAAGCCTTCTGATTTCTAATCGGGTTATCAATTTCTTCATAGATTCAACACTAATTGTACGAAAAAAAAGAATCATGAAAGTTCCAGATCGAGACATGGAAGGGAGGAATCGTATTAGAAAAAAAAAATCGAAACAATGATAAACATATTTAGAAAATATACGTAGATAGATGCAGGGAAGCTTAGTATCTTACCAGGGACAAGGACTCCGATGGAGTTTCTGGACAGGCGATTTGCGTATAAAATTGGGGAAATTTGCGAACTGAAGGCTTTATGATGAAGAGATTTTTGTGAAATTGCTTAAATAGGGCTTTGATTTTTTTTATCTTTAAAACTTATCCTGGTTTTTTATTACTTTAACTTTTTAGGCCTTGTATGTTTCACTACGATAAGAAAGCAATCACCGCCTCCTAGGCAATGTCTTAAAAAAGCGTGTCAATATCGGTTGAATCGGTTGGACTGTAAACCGTAAAGATAAAATTCCAATTAAAAATGGATTTTTGTCTATGTATGAAATGAATTGAAACAATCAGTTTTAACATAAAAACTTGTTGAACCGTTTGACCTACAACCTTTACAAAAACTCGGTTTGACATAAGTGATCATGTTCTTGTTAAAGATGAGGATGAGAGTGAATTTTGAATACTAAGCAATTATGAGCTTGTTGCATTAAACAATTTAGAGTCTCGATATTTGTGTTTTGTTT